ACAAAGCTGAGAGAGAGGGGGAAGATGTTTGATGTTGAGCAGAATCCCAGCAGGTCTCAGCAGACTGGAGCAATGGGCAGAATCCAAGGGAGAAATTTCACAGGAGCCCACAGAAGGTCTCTGTGGCCTGGAAAACCCACATGTACCAGTCCAGGGAGGTAGGGAGTAGCATCCACTGGAGGGAGAGGAAGGTCCTGCCCTGTACTCTTCAGACCATACCTGGGGCCTTTGGTTCTGAAAAGAGAAAGATAAGAGTGGGGTCAGGCCAGGCATGGTGACTCACACCTGTAATCTCAGAACTTTGGGAGACCGAGGCGGGCGGATCATCTGAGGTTAGGGGTTCAAGACCAGCCTGGCCAACATGGTGAAACCCTGTCTCTACTAAAAATACAAAAATCAGCCTGGCCTGGCATGGTGGCAGGTACCTGTAGTCCCAGCTACTTGGGAGGCTGCGGCAGGAGAATTGCTTGAACCCAGGAGGTGGAGGTCACAGTGAGCTGAGATCGTGCCGCTGCACTGCAGCCTGGGTGACACAGTGAGACTCTGTCTCAAAAAAAAAAAAAAAAAAAAGAGTGGGGAGCAGACTTGAAACTATTTCAGGCAGAGAATGGTAAAGGGAAAAATGAGGCTATTCTTTCTAAGAAGGGAGGACTAGAGGTGTATCTTGGGGAGAGGGGAAGACCCAGGGTTTCAGGACCACAGCTCACAGTGGGGTCGACCTGCCCTGTGGAGCTGTGCAGGGCAGAGCTCCTAGCCAGGAGGCAGATTTTGACTCCTGCTGGGAAATCCCTTAAAAGCCACCCCAGGAATGAACTCCATGAGTGCCATCAAGGCTGGCCTGCAGGCCCTCCAGGGTTACCAGGGCTGCCTGGAACTGAATGGACCCTGTGTGTGTTCTTTTAGTCTAGGAAGACCAGCCAGGACTTTGGGGGCCAAAAGGCTAGCCTCAAGTGAGCTCAGAAATCCGCACCTGAATTGGGCCTTTTTAGAAGTTTTTTAATGGGCAATACATGTGTGTGGCAGAAAGGCACAGGAAACAGATCTAAACCGGAAGCCTCATTTTCTAGCCCCAGCTTTCCTCTCGAGAGGCAGCTAGTGTTAGCTCGTTTCTTGTGTGTCATTCCAAGGAGGTCCGTGCACGTATGCACACAGGAACCATTTAGTTTGCATGTTTCTGGGTTTTTTATTAGCTTAGTACATATACAGTACTGCACCTCGATTAATAATGGTGATCATTTCATCTTTCCATGTCCAGAGCTGGCTAATTCCAGAAATAGCTACAGAGTATCCATTGTTGGATCTCTTGTGGTTTATTTAACCAGCCTCATTGGTGGAGGTTTAGGAGTTGTCGCAGATAAGGCTGTAGTAAAATTCATGTCTGTATGACTTTTCACACAGGTGTGTGTCTAGGAAAGACACTTACAGAAGTAGAGTTGCTGAGTCAAAGGTGTGTCATTTTAAATTTAAAGTTTTGACATCTCTGTATTTTATTTATTTATTTATTTTGGAGACAGAGTCTCGCTCTTGGTGTCTGCCCGGCATGGGATGACCGAAGTGGCGCAGATCTTGGACTCACTGCAACCTCCGCTCCCAGGTTCCACGCCCATTCCTGCTGCCCATCACTCCCAGTAACTGGTATTACAGGCACCTGCCACCCGCCGGCTAATTATTTATAATTTTAAGTAGGAGACAGGGTTCACCATGGCCAGGCTGGTGTCTCAACTCAGAACCTCCAGGTGATCTGCGCCACCTCAGCCTCCCAAAGTGCTGGGATGTACGGCGTGAGCCACTTGGCGGACTGACCATCTGTAGTTTTAATTGGTGATTTCCTCAGACGTTGGTGAAAGGTAAACGTCTTCAGCTCCTTTCTGTAACTGCCAGATCTGTTCACGATATTGACAGTTTGCTCTAATGGTTGTGATCTTTTTTTATGTATATTAATAAATTATATTTCTAAGTTTTTTTCTCATCTTTTTTTTTTTTTTTTTTATTTTTAGTTTGTCTTGTATGCTGAATTTTATTTTCTGCTTGGTTCTGGGGTGTGGTTTACCCATTCTTTCATTGCGATTCTTTGGCCTGGCTGGGAATTACTTGGTGTAAGGAACAAGGGTGGGATATGCCAACTTTTGTTTCTCGGGTTTGTTTCCCTTGGCCTGGCTGTGTATGGAGCTCTTGGCTTCTTTTCTGATGAGGAGGGCAGGAGATGGAGGTGGGGGGTGTGTATTTGGGCTCTAGTCTGCTAGTGGTTGTCTCCAGAGAGATAAGGTGACAGAGACACCCCGGTTTTTGTGTGGGCTGCAGAGGTCGGCCATGTGTTATCCTACTCAACCAGTGAAGGTCGGAGAGATTTTGGCGAGTCCGGGCAAGAAGGATCAAGTTGGGGCCGGGACGGGGAGGGCTTTGTACTGACAGCCCACCCAGCCTTAGGGACATGAGTCACACCCTCTCTGAAAGTGATGCCACCGGGGACCTCATCCACCACGTGCTTAGGGGCTCAGAGAGACCGAAAGCTGTGCAAGGAGTAGGTCCTTGGTCCACCCTACAGGAAGCCAGTTCCAGCTCTCTCCAAAGCCATAGGGCTTTGCCTACAGTCACCCCTGGACCCACTGACCCAAACAAATGACTACACCCATAGGGCTGAAAACCAGACCCACCCTATGGGGACTGGTGGTACCTTAAGGAAGTTCTTTAGCTTCCTTAAAAACAGCATGTAGGCCAGGCACGGTGGCTCATGCCTGTAATCCCAGCCCTCTGGGAGGCCGAGGCAGGCAGATCACTTGAGGCCAGGAGTTCAGACCAGTCTGGCCAACATGGCAAAACTCCATCTCTACTAAAAATACAAAAATTAGCCAGGATAGTTGCGTCCTCCTGTTGGAGGCTGAGGCACAAGAATCCCTTGATCCCAGGAGGCGGAGGTTACAGTGAGCTGAGATCGCACCACTGCAGTCCAGCCTGGGTGATAGAGTGAGACCCTGTCTAAAAAATAAAAATAGGCCAGGCGTGGTGGCTCATGCCTATAATCTTAATACTTTGGGAAGCCAAGGCGGGCAGATCACCTGAGGTCAGGAGTTCGAGACCAGCCTGGCCAACATGGTGAAACCCTGTCTCTACTAAAAATACAATTAGCCAGGCGTAGCTGCTTGGGAGGCTGAGGCAGGGGAATCACTTGAACCCAGGAGGCAGAGGTTGCAGTGAGCCGAGATCATACCATTGCATTCAGCCTGGGTTACAGAGTGAGACCCTGTCTCAAAAAAAATAAATAATAAAAACTTAAAAAGAGCAACATAGGCTGGGCACAGTGGCTCACACCTGTAATCCCAGCACTTTGGGAGGCCGAGGCCGGTGGATCACAAGGTCAGGAGATCAAGACCATCCTGGCTAACACAGTGAAACCCCATCTCTACTAAATACAAAAAATTAGCCGGGCATGGTGATGGGCGCCTATAGTCCCAGCTACTCAGGAGGCTGAGGCCGGAGAGTGGTGTGAACCCAGGGGGCAGAGCTTGCAGTGAGCCGAGATCGCGCCACTGCAGTCCAGCCTGGGTGACAGAGCAAGACTCCGCCTCAAAAAAAAAAAAAATAATAATAATAAAATTAAAATACTCAAAAAATAAAAAAATAAAAAGAATAGCATATACCAGCCTGGGCAACATAGTAAGACTCTCAAAAAAAAAAAAAAAAATTAGCTGGGTATGGTGGCACATGTCTTTAGGAGGCTGAGGCGGGAGGATTACCTGAGCCCAGGAGGTCAAGGCTGCAGTGAGCCATGATTGTGCCAGTGCACTCCAGCCTGGGTGACAGAGAAAGACCCTGTCTCAAACAAACAAAACCCAACATGCCCAGTTCTTCAAGACAGATATGAAGGGCAACTAGACTCTTATAGTTGGATAGCATGACCAGAACAGTGGTCTTCAAAGTGGGTTCCCTGGACCAGTAACATCATCTGGGAACTTGTTCAAAATGCAAAAACTGGTTCTACTGTCTCAGAAACTCTTGGTGGTGGAGCCCAGCAATGTGTTTTAACAATCCCATCAGGTGATTCTGATATGCATTGCAGCGTGAGACCCAGTGTGTAAAAAGAAACCACGTACCCGAGACGAGCAGGTGTGATTGTTGAGGGAGGCTGCAGGTTTCCTCACATGCCTGCCTGCCATTGGGTGTCTCTGCAAACTGCAGCAGCAGCTGCTATTAGCAAGAGCAGGCAGGTTGCACAATGTGGCTGGTGTCCCTTCTTGCAATTTAACTGGAATGGCACATTGCCAAGGGATCCATGTTCAGAGGGACTTCATGAGAGCAGGTGTCTCACCTTGCACCTGTCCAGGCCTCTCTTCTTCCCTTACTGACAGATCTCCAAATCACTTATTTCTCTTAGCAGCCTCTGCTGCAGAAACAGGGTGGTGCTGCCTCATTTGCCCTGGTTCTTCACCCTGCATCAGATGAACCTCCTGAGGGCCCTTTTTGCTTCTAGGAATGATGATTCCATACCTTACTAGGTCCCCTTGCCTGATAAACCAGAGGTTGGAGAATGAAGAGAGACAGGGGCCTCTGACTTCCCCTGTTGCTGGAGGGATGGCAATAAGGACACAGGAAGACAAATAGACAGACTTGGAGCCCTGAGAATGAGGGAGTGCGTCTCTAGCTCTGAGGTGGGAGAACAGACCCAGAGGCACACTGCACCCTTGCCAGCAGAGGCAGGAGCAAAGCTTCAGTGAGAGGGACTTTCAAGGGAACATCCTGGTGGGCAGTGAATCCTGTCACTGTGGGTGGGGCCAGGGGTGTGGCCCTGGCCCAGAAGTCAGGCAGCATGCTGGTGGGTACTGTTTCTAGCTGGAGGCGCCAGCAGGGGGCAGTGAACTGGGCTGCGACAAGCAGGGCAGATACAGCAGCTTTTCCTGCAGGGTCCCAGTTGTGGGGGTGGCTGCCCTCTTGAGAAGCGGGCTCCCACAGGCCAGCAGGGGCTCCCAGGCCGAGCCTGAATGTGCTTTCCTCTTCTCTTCCAGATCTAACCATGAGCTACCCTGGCTATCCCCCGCCCCCAGGCGGCTACCCACCAGCTGCACCAGGTAAGAGGGTCTGGGGTGGGGAGGAGAGTGAATGCTGCCTCTGTACAGTGGCTGGGAGTGGAGAGGGGAGAACAGTAGTTTCCTCCCTCCCCTCTTCCCCTCCTGGCACAGCCCAGCAGGGGAGGAGAGGACAACAGGAGCAGAGGGACAGCCAGTGGGGGCAGGGGCTGGAGAAGAGCATTGAGGCTGAGGCCATGGGAGGCCTGGGTTTGAAACTGGCTCCAGAAAGCGCTGGCCCAGGCCCGGGGCTGGGTGTCTTGCCTTACTCTCTAGTAACAGTAGGCAAATGCTGTCACTTTGAGACTCAGTTTTCTTCTTTGCAAAATTGCTTTAGGGATTTCTCCCTCATTAGGTGGTCCTGGATACTGATGAGATAGGCAGGCAGAGCCTCTGACGTGGTGCCCTCCAAAGCATTGCTAGGTGATGGTTGTCCCTTGCCACCTCTCCTACCCTCTGTTCAAGGTGTATGGGTTTGCAGCAACAAGATCCCCCTTGCCAAGAGAGGAAGTGGAGGCAGATGCTAAGGGTCGAAGGTCACTCATTCCCTGTTTTCTGCAGGAGCTGTGGGTAGTCACATGGAGAAGTCATCTTCTTTGGCCCTGGCCCCTTTTGGTCCTCAAATGAGATTTGGTCCCCACTATGGGAAAGGAAATACGAGGGCTCATGGGACCAAGGGGAGAAAAGGGCCATTCCAAGGCTGGTCATCTTGAGGGTGCCTGAGCCGCTGCCCCTCGCCCCAGGGGCCCCCCAGGCATCATTCATTTCTCTGGAGCTGAGGTCCTGTGGTTTGAGCACCACTGACCTGCAGGCCATTTACCTTCCCTCCCGTTCAACAGGTGAAGAACAAACTCAGACCGAGAGGTGGCTCAGCTGCTGTCCCAGAGCACATTAGGGGCTGAACTGGGCCACTGCCCTCTGAACAAGCCCACCCCAGGTTGGCTGGCACTGGCCTCAGTTCCCTCTCTGTAGTAGAAATCCTGCCACTGCCACCTTTGCTAGCACAGCTGAACAGCCTCTGAGTAGCAACAGAGAAGGAGGCAGGAGATTTAGGGAAGTTCTTCCTGGAGGGTCTGGAGCCCTGGAGATGAAGAGCCGATCCGAAGCTGCCATGGACAGGAAAGCATCTAACAGGCCAGAGATGTCGAATGCCCATCGGGCACCCAGCTGAGCCCTGCAGGCGTTAACTCAGTCTTCGTCACAGCAGTCTAGGCATACACTCACTATGAGCCCATTTGTCAGCTGAGGAAACAAGCCTAAGGAGGGTGAAAGCCTTGCCCCAGGGCACATACCAGTCCTGCTGGTTTCAGAGTGGGCTTTTCACCTCTGTTTCTTCCTGTCCTCTTGTGGGCTGGTATCTGTGTTTACCATGACCCAGCCCCGTCTCCCTCCAGCCTCTTATCCTGCTTCTCCCTGCCTTTTACAGACTTGTAATAACCAACAGCCAAAGCCCCTCCCGCCAATGCCTTCGCATTACTGAAATCTCAGAGCTGCCTATGGTCACCTCTGACATGGGCTCAGCGTGCTGTCCCACAACAGTCTGTCTTTGTCTGTCCTCCCGCTCCATGATGGTGAACTCGGGAGGGCAGAGCCTGCCTGGGCTTTCCCAACCTCCTTAATACCCCACAGAGGGTCTTGGGAGTGATTGGGGAACTCCACCTTCCTCCCTGGGAAGAGGGGAAGGTGTCCCCTCCTCTGCCAGTGGGCTAGGGGGAGACTTTCCCCCTGGTGTTTTCATGTGGTCTGTGGGGTCCCGAGGCTCTACTGGGCCTCCCTTCCTGACCACCTGGGAGCTCGCATCTCTGCCTTTCCCCGTGTGGTTGGGGGACTGGTAGGGGCCAAATGGCTTGATGTTGCTTTCAGGTGGTGGTCCCTGGGGAGGTGCTGCCTACCCTCCTCCGCCCAGCATGCCTCCCATTGGGCTGGATAATGTGGCCAGCTATGCGGGACAGTTCAACCAGGACTACCTCTCGGGAATGGTGAGTCCAGCCTTCCTGCTGAGGCAGCCCTGGGGCCACGCCTGCGTGGCCAGAGGAATCAAAGCTGCTGGCCTCTGGGGCTCCAGAATTGTCTGTGTGTGTGTTGCTGTGGTGTGTAGTGTGTTGAGCTGTACCTCAGAACAGGGTTTTCATCAGGCTTCTGCCACCCGCTCTCTGCCCCTGTCTCGGTCTCACTTTTCCCATCTGTAAAATGAAGCGGGGGGACCAGATGATCTCACAGGTCCGTTTTAGCCCTGCGGGGTTAGGGTCGGGAGGGTGGTGAGGGTGTGTGCATGAGTGTGCATGCTCGTGCTATATATGAGTATCCACATTCATGTACCTGCGTGTGCGTGTGTGTACATATGGAGGGCTCTTGTGGTTAGGCCTGGGTGGGTGTGTGGCAGGTGTCTTGGGCAGACATGCTACTTTTTAAATTTGTTGTTTTGCTTTTAAAATAATACATTTTATGATTTGAAAACAAACGTATGCTTAGAGGAAATTATGCAACCAGTACACACCCTAATTTGTGCCAGGCCCAGTTCTAGGCACTGGGGATATGTGAATAAAATAAACAAAAATCTGGACCGTGCTGCATTTATCATCTATGGGGAAAAGACAAGCAGTAACTTAAGTCAACGATGTGATGTTATTGAAAGTGTAGCTGCCATGGGAACAAGATGAGCAGGGTAAAGGGGTCAGGAGTGGGGGTGGGGTGATGGAGGGATAATGATTTTAAGTTGGCAGTAAGGTGGGTCTGGCTGAAAAGAGGATGTGTGAGCAAAGACCTGCAGCAGGGGAAGGAAGTGCTGTATGGATGTCTAGGGAATGCCAGTGCCCTGAGGTGCCAGGGGGCCTGAGGTGCTTGGGGACACGGAGGAGAGGCCAGTGTGGCTAAAGTGGAAAGGCGAGGGGATGAGATAAGAAATGAAGTCTGGGGGTCCAGCTCTTGCAGGGTGTAGGAGGCTATTCATCCTAAGGATTTAGGCTTTTATTCCTGGTGAGTGCAGATTCACCTGAACATGCCTGCCAGAGGTGTCTGTGGGTAGCAGGCTGATGTGGTGGCGGTGCCCCCAACCCTGAGTATGGGACCCACATGCCTTCTTGGGCAGTGAGCTCTTAACCTTCACCCAGGTGGTCTGGGATGGGAGGAGCAGCCATGTGGAGAGGGAAGGCATTTCCCCTGCAGAAGGGGGTGAGGATCTCTGGTTTGCATCCAGCCGCACTGTTTACTGGCTGTGTAGCTTTGAGCAAGTAAACTCATTCTGTGGTCTGTGAAATAGGTATAACGGTACTTCATGTTCCACAAGCGGAGACGCTGTGAGGACTGACTTGGCTTAGATATGAAAAAGCGTGGAGGGACAGAGTGCAATGGGGCCCGTTGGCCTCATGCTCTTCTTTGTGTCCTTGCAGGCGGCCAACATGTCTGGGACGTTTGGAGGAGCCAACATGCCCAACCTGTACCCTGGGGCCCCTGGGGCTGGCTACCCACCAGTGCCCCCTGGGGGGTTCGGGCAGCCCCCCTCTGCCCAGCAGCCTGTTCCTCCCTATGGGATGTATCCACCCCCAGGAGGAAACCCATCCTCCGGGATGCCCTCATATCCGCCATACCCAGGGGCCCCTGTGCCGGGCCAGCCCATGCCACCCCCCGGACAGCAGCCCCCAGGGGCCTATCCTGGGCAGCCACCAGTGACCTACCCCGGTCAGCCTCCAGTGCCACTCCCTGGGCAGCAGCAGCAGCCAGTGCCGAGCTACCCAGGATACCCAGGGTCTGGGACCGTCACCCCCGCTGTGCCTCCAACCCAGGTGAGTGTCAGCCCACTGCCTCCCTCGGCCCAGGCCTGGGCCCCAAAGGCTGGAGACACATGGTCCAGTAGATGGGGAGACAGGGAAAGGCGCAGGCCTCCGGCTGCAACTTCTTGTTTTAACAAAGAGTGTCGGCCAGGTACAGTGGCTCGTGCCTGTAATCCCAGCACTTTGGGAAGCTGAGGTGGGCAGATCGCTTGAGCTCAGGAGTTCAAGACCAATCTGGGCAAAATGGTGAAACCCTGTCTCTACTAAAAATAGAAAAAAAATAGCTAGGCATGGTGGTGTGCGCCTGTAGGCCCAGCTACTCAGGAGGCTGAGGTGGGAGGATCATCTGAGCCCAGGAGACAGAGGTTGCAGTGAGCCGGGATCATGCCACTGCACTCCAGCCTAGGCAACAGAGTAAGACCCTGTCTTTAAAACAAACAAACAAACAACAACAACAACAACGAGAAACAGAAAAACAAAGAGCGGCACCTTCTTGCAGACTCCCCACCTCTGGGTTGTGTTGCTTAAGGCCCAAGGGAGCTGCCCTGTTTCTCCCAGTGTGATGAGACACTCCACATGCGAGTTGGGTCAGAACGCTCCTGGCGAGTACTCCTTATTCCTCTGTGTCATTCACTGCCTGGGCTGTGTGTTTTGTAAGAACTGCCCAGGCCACCTGTCTTAAGCCTTTGTGCCCAACAGCATCTCCAGTCCTCTTGATATGCGCCCCCCACAGACGGATTTTCGAGGATTCTTAAAATTCCCTTTGGGTAGGGAAAATGTTGGCAGTTCCTCCAGGGTTGATCTTTGGCTCATTTTGGAGAACAGTTCATGTTTGCAGAGCCTAGAATTCGTTGTCATGGTTATATGGCCCAACCAGCCAGCACAGGGATATGGTATGTGCTTGATGACTATTTTTAGACAGAGGGTCTCCTTTCCTCCTTCCCTTCCATACCCACACGCCCCCCCACCCCTGTGCCATCCTCCAGCCTCCCTCCCTTATCTTTTCCCTGAGCTGCCCCCATAATTGTGTTATAACCAGTTTGTACCAGCTCCTAGGAAGACAATCCACTGGGAGACAGTATAACCTGGAAAGTTCAAATTTGCTGGGTTGTGCAGCTGTCAGGGTCTGGAGGAAGTCCGGCAGGTTTTAGTCTAGGGAACAGTGCCAGGGAACCAGTGCTAGATCAAGAGGTCGTCAGGCTGCCATGCACAGTTGTGGAGTCTGAATACCTGCATCTGCTGGAGGGTTCACATGGGCTAGCCAGCCCAGTTAGGGGTACCCACGTGTGCTCACGTGCTGTGGAGACCAGTCATCTATGAGAGAGGCCACAGCCCCTGCTCCTGAGGCTTGCCCTTCATCGGGAGCCTGAGCCCCAGCCCTGGAGGACCTGGGCACTGGGCAGATTTACAGCGTCAGGTTTCAGCTATAGGTGGGCTCCCAGCCACTGGAGCCAGGAAAAAGCTTCCGTACTAGAACACAAGGCCAGATAACAGTCAAGTTAGGCAGACTTGGCGTAGAGTCCTCTGCGTTGTTGACTGTGGATTCCTTTAGATACTCCAACTCTTAGAGAAAGGGCTGTTCCCAGAGTCTAGGGGTGGAGCAGTCTTGAATCTGGGGAAGGTGGCATACGTATCATCTTACCTGTAACTGTTTGTCCGAGTAGTTTGGAAGCCGAGGCACCATCGCTGATGCTCCTGGCTTTGACCCCCTGCGAGATGCCGAGGTCCTGCGGAAGGCCATGAAAGGCTTTGGTAAGAGACCCTGGGTAGCTCAAATCCTACCCCCTGCCCCCTATTCCCCAGGCAGTTTCACAGTGGCTTTGTGGGCTAGGGTAGCTGGGGGACGCAGACCTGGCCCCAGTGGTAATAAAAGAGAAGATGGATGTGGGATTGCGGCTGGCATGCCCAGAACAGTTGAGGCACCCAGGCCAGGGAAGTCTCAGCTGCAGAGCATCTCATAACCCCTGCCCGACCCACCCCTGCTGCCTGTTCCTCCAGGGACGGATGAGCAGGCCATCATTGACTGCCTGGGGAGTCGCTCCAACAAGCAGCGGCAGCAGATCCTCCTTTCCTTCAAGACGGCTTACGGCAAGGCAAGCTGCGGGGTGGGGGCGCGGGACAGCGAGGCGTGTCCTGAGCTCAGCACAGCCCTGCTCACCCTTGCTTTTTCTTGGGTGGGCCCGGGTCTCCTGGATGGACAGTAAAGAGCAGGAGGGCATTTCCTTCTGCCCACCCAGCGGGTGACATCGTTGGGAGGTGAAGGATGCCACAGGGTGCCAAGGTTGGCTGAGAGGCTCCAGACATCCAGCCCTGGGTTCTAGCCCTTGCTCTGCCACATCTCACTAAGGTTGTGGCCACATCATTTTCCTTCCCCTGCCCTCTTCATGACCACCCTGGGGGGTTTAGCTGATGTAAGAACTTTGCAGGGAAAGGCTGTGAGCACTGCCCAAGTACGAGGGGCATGTATGAGCGCATTTTGAACTTCTGGGGTTTTGAATCTTGGAAAGGTAAAAATTGGGTAAATATTGATTAGATTCATGTTCTAGCCCAGTGCTTCTCACACTTCAATGTGTCACCGATCCCCTGGGCATCTTGGTAAAATGTGGTCTCTGATTCGGGAGGTTTGGGGCAGGCCTGAGAGCAGGCTTTTCTCTCGGGCCCCTGGGGGATGTCCGTGCCGCTGCTCCTTGAATCTGGGATATGGCTCTTAGTAGTCACCTCCTGTGGATTTTTAAAATAGACTTTTTTTGTTTGTTTGTTTGTTTGTTTGTTTGAATATCCAATCAGGATTTGATCAAAGATCTGAAATCTGAACTGTCAGGAAACTTTGAGAAGACAATCTTGGCTCTGATGAAGACCCCAGTCCTCTTTGACGTATATGAGATAAAGGAAGCCATCAAGGTGTGTACGTGTGTGTGTGTGTGTGTGTGTGTTTTCATGCATTCATGCATGTGGACACACAGCCCAGAAGGAGGCCTGGACAGTGTTCTAGCCCACTCGTTAGTTGCTGTTATCAGTATGGCTCCCAGGCCTTCCTGGGTTAGAGTCCACCTGCTGTAGAAAAGGGAATTCCCTGTGATTTCCGCAAGAGGCGAGTGATGCACCCGTCATTATCAGGGAGCCTTAAGTCTCTCTCCATCTGGTCTCTCTCCATCTTAAAGAAATGGTGGTGCTAGGGTTTGAAGGTGGCAAGTCTGTGGTAAGCAGAGGGGTAGGAGGCCATGGTTGGTATCGTTCCCATTCTTTAGGACTCTGCTACTAGCAAATGACAGAAACACAGTTCAGTTTAAGAAGAACAAAGGTGGAGAATCAGTTACGTGGGTAAAGCCAAGCTGCCTGGCATGGAGAGGGCCAGGCCAGATGTCTCTCTAGTCTCTGCCTCTTCTGAGCGCCTGCTCTTCTGTCAGTTTCTGTGCTTCTCCTGCCATGGCTGCTTCATGCGGGGTTCGGGAGGGGTGCCTGTTGACCACTCTCCGCGTACCTATGAGACCCAGCTCCAGAAGAATCCAGCAGGGTCTCCAAACAGGGGCAGGTTCTGACGGGCCCAACTTGGGCTCACTGTTTCCTCCAGTCCTGTGGGTTTTGACTGAGGGGCGGATCCTGTCCATTCTGTGCAGTCCCACAGCTCTGTGTGCACCCCGCGGGCAAGGGCAAGCAGCACCGTGCCGCAGCTCTGTGTGCACCCCGCGGGCGAGGGCAGGCAGCGGAGTCCCGAAGCTCTGTGTGCACCCCATGGGCAAGGGCAGGCAGCACCGTGCCGCAGCTCTGTGTGCACCCCGCGGGCGAGGGCAGGCAGCGGAGTCCCGAAGCTCTGTGTGCACCCCATGGGCAAGGGCAGGCAGCACCGTGCCGCAGCTCTGTGTGCACCCCGCGGGCGAGGGCAGGCGGCACAGTCCCGCAGCTCTGTGTGCACCCCGCGGGCGAGGGCAGGCGGCACAGTCCTGCAGCTCTGTGTGCACCCCGCGGGCGAGGGGAGGCGGCACAGTCCCGCAGCTCTGTGTGCACCCCGCGGGCGAGGGCAGGCGGCACAGTCCCGCAGCTCTGTGTGCACCCCGCGGGCGAGGCGGCACAGTCCCGCAGCTCTGTGTGCACCCCGCGGGCGAGGGCAGGCGGCACAGTCCCGCAGCTCTGTGTGCAACCTGTGCGCTAGGGCAGGCAGTACAGTCCCGCAGGCCTGTGTGTAACCCAACCATTTACTGTGTGGCCTTGGACCAGCCAGTACCCCTCTCTGATGCTCAGTTTTCTGATACATGGGCGTGCCCTTTGTGTGAACCCTATTCATCACCGCTGCCACTGTCAGTGTGCTTGCCCGGGCTGTGGAGAGGAGCTGACTCCCTTAAGCCTGGGAGTAGCTGGAGGGTATGTCTGTGTGTCAGGGGCCTCTGTTGCTGGGGTTTGGCCCTGGGGTCCGGGCAGCAGCATGGCCCCCACTCTCCTTCCCGGGTGCTGGTGAGGCTGCTGGAACAAGCGCATGGTTGGTTGTATTCTCTGCCCCTGCAGGGGGTTGGCACTGATGAAGCCTGCCTGATTGAGATCCTCGCTTCCCGCAGCAATGAGCACATCCGAGAATTAAACAGAGCCTACAAAGCAGGTGACACCACTCCCTCTGCCCTCTTCCCTCTGCCCTCTGCAGATCTCTGTGCTCTTGGGGCTATGGCCACACTCTCTCCTAGGGCCTCTTACTCCTTCCTGGCCTTCTTCTCAACCTATCTTCTGCCACCCCCAACACACGGGGCTTTGACCCAAGACCCAGCCCTTCCTTCTGTGTATACATGGTGCAAATGACTAAAGTAAGGGAGCGCCAGGGGAAACCTGGATGTGGTTTGGGCCGAGGCTGACTAGAGCCCAGGTCAGCGTGGAGGTCGCAGGCTTGTATATCCCTGGAGGGCCATGTGGGCTGTTTGCTCTCTCGAGCCCGAGCCGAGACCTCCAGCCTTATTCTCCCCACTACAGTGTTTTGCAATGGGCAGCTCCATAAACAGAGCTACAGGGTGGACCTTCCTTGCTTCTCCCTTTCAGAATTCAAAAAGACCCTGGAAGAGGCCATTCGAAGTGACACATCAGGGCACTTCCAGCGGCTCCTCATCTCTCTCTCTCAGGTACTTTTCCCATGACAGGGCTCGGGGCCCCCAAGCCATGGAAGTCAAAGAGATGGGATCCCAGCAATGAGGAAAGGGAAAAGAAATGGGGAAGGAGTGGGCTTGACCATACACCTGCTTCCTTTCAGGGAAACCGTGATGAAAGCACAAATGTGGACATGTCCCTCGCCCAGAGGGATGCCCAGGTGAGTGTGATGGCCAAGCCCCTGGACTTCCTAAAGCAGGGTGTACCTCGCTTTCTTGCTTCCTGAGAGAGGTGCCCTAGGGTGGAAAGAACAATAGATAAGCAGTGGGTTGCAGATGCCGCGAGTTTCAGACGTGCTGAACTGCTCAACTGTATGACCTAGAGCAGGTCGTCTGACCTCCTGGGCTTCACCTTCCCCACCTACGGGAAGGAACATGTGACATAATTAGTATTTCAGCAGTTGATAGATCACGGTTTTGGATGTGAGATTTCGTGCGACTGCGTACTTTCCCCATGTTTAGTTGCACATACCATTGTTTGCAAAGGGGCAGAATTTGCACTTGCCTATTAGTTTTTTGAGGGTTTGAGCCTAGAAACCAGCTGCCACATTAGTCGAGCAGCCTTAGAATTCTGTTGTTGTCCACCTTGTGAGTTGCAGACAAAAGGGGAAAAGTCCAAGCAAAGTCCAGGCATCGGAGCTACTCTCTCAAAAAGTTTGGGTTTCCCACTAATGAATTTCAACTGTAGTGTTATGGCAGGGCAGAGCCATGACTTCCTGATGGGGCAGAGTTAGCCATACCTCCCTGTCCCCCTTCACTGCCCTTGTCATCCATGGCAGGGCATTCACCAGGAGCTGCCAGTGGTCTAATTATCTCTACCATCTGCGGGTTTGGAATGAGACCCCAAGGAGTGCCCCCTTGTTAGGACTGGAGGAGAGCTACTCCTCTGGACTGGTCCTTTTGCTTTCCAGATGAGGAAACTGAGGCTCAAAAAAGTTGAGCACTGTTCCTAACTGAAAGCTAGAGGCAGAGCCCGGACAAGGGCCTATACCCCTGGCTCGGTCCTCCGTGCCCAGTTAGCACCTGCCTCTGCCCTGGTCTCTGCCCTGCTGCTCCTGCAGGGGTCTGCCTTATTCAGTGTCTCTCTGGCTGGTGACATCCATTCCCATTCTGGGAGTCAGAGCTGGATACCCCTGGGGCTCAGGGCTCTGGCTTTTGCTCCAGCGAGAGTTTTGCGTGCCAGTTTTAGCGGGGCAGAAATTGTCTCGTGCTCTGCCTTCTCAGTCCAGACCTGCTTTGGCGTCATCTTGACCTGTGGGATCTCAGCCCCTGATTGCTGCTTTCTGCTCTTTTTCAGGGCTGCTACCTGAGGCCTAGCAGGCACATTAGAGGCCATCTAGTTTTGCAAGTTGGCAAATACTTTAGGCTCAAACCTTCAGAAGTTTACCAGGCTCTCCTGGGTGACCTGGGCCTGGGATCTGGGTGTGGCCTCTGCCGCATGTACATCTTCCTCTCTCTCCAGGAACTGTATGCGGCCGGGGAGAACCGCCTGGGAACAGACGAGTCCAAGTTCAATGCAGTTCTGTGCTCCCGGAGCCGGGCCCACCTGGTGGCAGGTAAGTCAGGCCAGGGTCCCCCTGAGGCCAGTTAGTTGAGGGCAGTCGGGATTGTGGGGAAACAAAGCTATGGGAACACTTGGCAGTTCCTCCCTGCATGGGGCTTTCGCCTCCTCAAAAAAGCCCCCTGGTGGGGATTTAAAAGACACTGTCAGAGGGTTTCCTGAGTTCTGCAAACATCCAGTTCTGGAGGTTCCACCGGTGTAGAAACTTGGTATCTTCGTACGTGGGAATGTGGAATGTCAGAGTTGGGAGAGTCCTTCGGGAGCACCCAATCCAGTGTTTTCCAAAGCCTGGCATAAGAAGCAGTGATAGCAATAATACTGGGTGCCATTCATTTACTCATTCATTCAACAGATGTAAATCTCACTTACCTATGGGTCAGTCCATCAGGTGGTGGAGCAGGTGTGGGGCCACGGTGGGGGGCAGGGCACTGCAGAGTCTGTGTTCCATGGGCTGCACCTTCTCATTTGGGGAGACAGACAGTAAACAGCAATGAAATCAAATCTGTATCAGATAGTAACTTCTGTAGAAGAAAACAGCTGGAAACAGGTAGGGAGTGATGGTAGGGTCCACCGGGAGGTGCTTGGGCCAGTCCCCACTGAGGTCAGGACATTTGATTTAAAAACCTAAAGGAGATGCAGGGGCAGAGGCCTGCCTGGGGCTCCCAGCACGACTGAGAACAGTGAAGGGGGACCATGTGGAGCAGTGGAGTGAGCGAGAGGAGTGGAAGATGAGGGCAGAGAGGGGAGAGGGCCCTGCTGATGACTTCCCGGAGTTGGGTATTTATCCTGAGCAAAATAGGAAGCCAATGGAGGGCTCTGAGCAGAGGAGGCTATGCAGAATCCCTGGCTGTGGTGCGGAGAATGGAGTGAAGGGTGCAAGGCCAAGCAGCGAAGCCTATCGGGAGGCTGCTGCAGGGACCCAGGGAAGGAACGGTGGTGGTAGGGGCTTGTGGTGAGGAGGTGTCAGGTTCTGGCCATGTTAGCTGATGAATTGGACACGTGGCGTGTGGGGGAGAGAGGGGTTGAGGATTATACAGGGTTTCTTTAGGGCAAGCAGTGGGAGAATGGCCCTCAACTGAGACAGGGGCAACTGTAGGTGGAGCTGACTTTAGGTGCCTGCAGGGTGGAGCTGCAGGGAGGCTGCTGGGTTGCTGAGTGTGGAGGTCAGAAGAGGTCTGGCCTGGACGTGAAAGGTAAGGGAACTGTGAGTAATCGAAGGTATCCGAGGCTCTGGGACTGCAGGAGGTCCCCTCGGGAGGGAGACTGGGGAGCCCACCTGTGTGAGGAGACTAAGAAGGAGCCGCTAGGGAGGTAGGAGGACCCAGAGGAAGGGGGTCCTAGAGGCCAGTGTGAGGTGGCAGGCAAGGACAGAGGATGGTGACCACACTGAGCAACTGGTGGGCTGTGGCCAGGGCTGCTCCAATGGGCAGTGAGGATGAAAACCCAGCAACCGCTCTGTGCTGCACACAACAGGCACTGTAGCTCTCCCCCATTTGCAGCTGTGGAAGCAGGCACAAGGTGGTAGGGAAGTAGGGGTGCACAGCTAGTAACAGCTGAGCTGGGATTTGAACCCAGGCCACCCGACCCCAGAGCACACTTTTTAACCTCTGCACTATCCTGTAATGGAGCCTGAGTGAATGCATTTTCATCTTAATCATTATTTCTTTTAATGAGTACAGAACATGTAAGTAGTGCATCAAGCCCATGGCTTCACAAACATTACTTAGGAGAAAAGAGGAGCTGATTTGAAGAAGATACTGAGATAGATACAGATAGAGCAGAAATCACGACTTTAATATGCAAATGGAAGCTGAGACTCAGGCTGGGGAAGGAGAGTTTTATGTCCTGGGTCAGAGCTGGAGTCAGGACCCAGGTTTCCATTATGCTGCCTGCCTCTCTAGGAGCCAGCCGTCCACTCCCATGGGTGCTTTGCGTGTCCTAGATCGAGCTGGGCTGGCAGGGGTGGGCAGAAAAAGCCAGATTGGCTGGGGCAGGCTGGGCGTCAGCTCCCAGGCAGGCTGAGGAAGACAGATGGATGCATGAATAAAGCCAAGGAATGGCAGAGACTGCAGGTGTGGGGGATTTGAGAAGAGGGGACACTGTGTTGGGGTGCGTGGGAGTGGGCCCTGGAGGGGTATTAAGGTGCGATTTGCTTAAGTAGATTGGCAGTCCTGAGAAAAGGACCACACAGAGAGGGACATCAGGTGGTGTGTGTCACTTGTGACGAAATCTCTGGCTTCCTTGAGCGCTAGGCAGGCCTGGGGACGTGCAGGGTGTGGGAGCAGAGTGGGAGGCGGGGGATTTGGGGGCAGAGGCCACCTCACGTGAGTCCTCTGTTAGTCTGCTCATGCTGCCATGACAAAATACCACAAACTGGGTGGCTTAAGCAACAGACGTTCATTTTGTTGCAGTTCTGAAGGCCGGATGTCCTAGAGTGGGGTGCCGGTTTCTCCGTGGCCTCTTCGTGGCAATCAGTGTGCTCACAGGGTCTTCCCTCTGCATGTACACATCCCTGAGGTCTCTGTGTGTCCTAATCTCTTCTTCTAAGGAGACCAGGCGGATTGGATTAGGGTACACCCTAGCAGCATGTTTTAACTTAATTACCTCTTTAAAAATCTTATCTCCAACTACGGTTGTATTCTGAAGTCCTGGGAGTTGGGACTTCCACATATGAACTTTGAGGAGACACATTTCAGTTCATAAAATAAGCCTCTGTCATCCCCCTAGTTTTCAATGAGTACCAGAGAATGACAGGCCGGGACATTGAGAAGAGCATCTGCCGCGAGATGTCCGGGGATCTGGAGCAGGGCATGCTGGCTGTGGGTAAGTGTCTCAGGTTTGCCTGCCCACCGTCCAGGGGCTAACATGTCGTAAGTGTTCAGGCTGTTCGCCTGTCCTCCAGCTGATGGGTGACATCGTGAAAGGACCACAGGATCCAAGATCACTCAACCCAGAGTGTCCAGATGCTGGGAAGTCATGCCGCTTCCCGGGTCCCTGTGCAGTTGAACCCCTAGCTGTCCTGGAGGTGTCTTGTGTGTGTTTGTGGTGCAGCTCTGGAGAAGAGAACTGCAGTGTGGGTATTAGTGGGAGGGCATCCAGCTGCTCTCCCGGAGAAGTATGACTCATATCCTGCCAAGTTTCCTCTAAAAATACATCCCTGCAGGCAGTTGTCAGATGTTTGTGATGGAAACACGTGGAAAGATTTTTACTTGCAACAGCGAAACAGGCCCATGCTGAGGAAAGCTGGCTTGGCTCCGGGATGGTAGTGTGCCTCTTACATTGCCCATGTCCTCTAGCAGGGCCCGGTGGGCTCCAGGTCCCTCCCACTGTGCAGAGTTGGGTCCCCGCCCTGAGGCCCTCACAACCCCTCTTTCTACTCACCTGGGAAAATCAGTCTGCCCCTTTTTTCATTATGCTTTTTTTTAGAGTTTTCTGGATGGGAGAAATGGAAAATCCTCATTTCCCTGCCTGCCCCCCACAGTAGGTCTCGTGACCTGGGAAGCCTAGGGAGATGCGCATTCCACTCGGCCACAGTTTCTCCATGAGGGTCATGGCCTCTCCAGTCTGCCCCTCCTGCCTGAGCAGCAGCGCAGTTCCTCGTCACCATCTGCAGCTCCTCGCCCCACTAAGACCCCCGCCCCTCTGACTCTTGGTCCTTTCATCACGGTGGTTGCCAGGAAAGAGGGTGGGTTGGTGTCCAGACTCTGCGTGTTTCTGTTCCAAAGAGCTGGAGCCAAGATCATGGGATAGTTGAGCCTGGAACAGAAGGAAGAGGAGAAAAGATGGATGCAGTGATGGATTTGACATCTGGGCCTCTAAGAGGACACTTGTAGACTCCATGCCCTTCTTGGGCTGAGAATTTTCTGCAGATCTGGTTATGCTGAGTTTCTCTCTTCTAGTGAAATGTCTCAAGAACACCCCAGCCTTCTTTGCGGAGAGGCTCAACAAAGCCATGAGGGTATGTAACTTCCATGTGCAGGTTGCGATACCTTAGCCCTGCTTGTGCCTAGGTCCAAGGGCTGAGGGTAGAAGGCCTGGGGAGAGCCAAATCTCAGCCGAGAGTTCTGAGGACTTGGGTAGGGAGGGGACTGGAAGGCCCAGGGCGGGTGGGCAGGTGAGGAGGCCTGGTGCTCATGCTCTTGGGGGGACTCTCTTTAGGGGGCAGGAACAAAGGACCGGACCCTGATTCGCATCATGGTGTCTCGCAGTGAGACTGACCTCCTGGACATCAGATCGGAGTATAAGCGGATGTACGGCAAGTCGCTGTACCACGACATCTCGGTATGGCCCTGCTGCAGGCAGACTGGGCTCCCTTTTGGCATCCCAGTCACCTGTGGAACCTCCCTCCTTAGAGTGGCCGTATGCTTGGCCTCTGTGCTGTGTGTGGGCATCTTGTTTATGGACCTCAGACTTGCTCATCCCGTTGCCACTAAACTTCTGAGGGCAGGTGGGTCATGACCTTGCTGTCGTCCCCACCTTGCATCCCCCAGCAGCATCAGAGAACACTCGGGACCTCCTCAACCTTGACCACGACCTTCAGCGTCCCAACCACCCTGTGATTCCTTGAGCTGTCATTGAGAACTCATGTCCCAAAGGCTCTGTGGAGCTCTGCTCTCACTTGCTGACAAAGCACTTCTTGCACTCAGCTTTATGGCATAGGCCACATAGTAAGGCTGTTCAGAGCGAAGGCCGTGGGGGTCACGCCACTTGGAGTCCAGCTTTTCTACTTGCTAACTGTGTGACCTTGAACAGCTTCCTTAAACCTCCCTGAACCCCAGCTCCATTGTCTTTAAGATGAGAAAATAATTGTTCCTTCCCAGGAATGTTGTGAGTATTGAGTGAGGCGGTGCAGGTCAAGTGTCTATTAAACACTAGCCACTCTTGCATCGCTGTGCGGCAGAGCCAGTCTGACAAAATACATTCTCAGCTACATGGTCTAACACTCAAATTCTGATCTCATGTGAGCCTTGAAATTGCACTATGGGGACCACATCCTCCCACCTTAGACTCAGTAGCATTTAATGATGGTGGGCATGTCATCACAGGAAGCTTACTTTGTTTCCTTGGCTGTATGAATGAAGCCGTTGCTAGAGAATTAGTAATTCTAGGCTGGGCACAGTGGCTCACGCCTGTAATCCCAGCACTTTGGGAGGCTGAGGCAGGTGGATCACTTGAGGTCAGGAGTTCGAGACCAGCCTGGCCAACATGGTAAAACCCTGTCTCTACTAAAAATACAAAATTAGTTGGGCGTGGTGACCTGGGCATGTAATTCCCAGCTATCGGGAGGCTGGTGGCAGGAGAGTTGGTTTGAACCCGGGGAGGCAGAGGTGCAGTGAGCCGGGGGATCAGGGCCATTTCACTCCAGGCCTTGGCGAAGAGTGGAGACCTCATCTCAAAAAAAAAAAAAAAAAAAAAAAAAGGTTAATAGATTCCTTTACGTATCTTCTGCAGCAGCAGGCTGTGGCTCTGGAAGAAGCCGCCACATGCTTGCCTTTCAAGTTGCTTAGGGGTGGAAGGAAATGATTTGAATGAGCAAGCCGAGCCTTGGCACTCTTGGAGTAAGCGTAGTGCCTCAGGACAGAGGAGATCCCTGGGCTGGAGGTCGAGCCTCACTGGACCAGCATGTGTGGAGATTGCGTTTTTTCCTAGGATGGGCACGGTTGTTGCGTTACACTGTACCCATTTAGGCAGCAGTAATGCACGGGAAAAGAGCAGTATTGGGTTCCCTGGAAGTTGGGTTGTTAGGTGATTATATATTTTTTGTGGTATTTTCATTTGACGTTGGTAGTTGAGGTGGTGTGGTTCCGTCTTCTAATGGGGGGCCTGGGGAAGGTAAATTCCATTTTTTTAAGGCTGTGCCACCTGTGCACGAGCCTGCCGCAGGAATTCCCCAGGATGGGGCTTTCCTCCTATAAGTGTGCTCAGGGCTGAAAAATCGGGGGCCAGGAAGGCTGAAGTGGGGCCGGTACCTCCTTGGGATGTCTTCTTGTTTCTGTGGCCAGACGTACTTCGGGGATTACCGGACGATTTGCTTAAGATCTGGTGGTGGCAATGACTGGACAGTGACTGGTGGCTCCTTCTGATGCGGGCGAACAGGTTGGTGCCAGGAAAAGGCCAAAAGAATGTCTGTTTAACAAATCCACAATAGCCCCGAGGATGCACCGTCTAGGCCTAGGGCTGTCCTCAGCCTCCGTGACCTGTGTATTTGTGCACAGGACGTGGGTCAAGTCTAGAACTCGTTCAGGATGCCTTTTTCTACCCCAGCCCTCCAGCCTCTTGGGTGGAGCTGATGTAGGATGTTTCATTTTTGGCATGGCAATCATCCCTTTTGCCTGTGGCTAAGACTGGCTTTGCTTTCGTCATTGAAATTTGTATTTTTATTTGGAGGCATATTTTTCATTTTACGTCATTGCCAGACGATGATACAGTCTGTTTTGCAATTTGCTGCGTACGGGAGGGCAGCTGGGTTGGGTGAGCTTTCGCTGAGGAGAGAAGGGAAGCCTGCTGGGGGGGTGCTGTGGGATCTGGTGAGTGTGTCACAAGGGCTTGTTTGCCAAACTCATTCTTTTAGAAAAAAAAAAAAAAGGGCCAGAAAGTCATTCGTTCCATCTTCCTTGCAGAAACCACGAGAACAAAGCCAGTTCCCTGTCAGTGACGGGGCTTCTTGTAATTTGTGGAATGTGCCTTAAACCTGAATGTCTGTAGCCAAAACTTGTTTCCACATTAAAAGCCAGCCAGCTCTGGAATGTTCTGGAAGTGTCTTCCTGGTACCAACTTGTTTTCTTCTGCTTGATTATGCCCTGTGGCTCAGAGTTCTCGCCTTATCAGCCAGTGAAAATTCATGTAACCTTAGATAGAGATTTGTGTGCAGGAAACCCTGAGCATACAATAGTTTGCGGGGACTCATTGTAAGGACATGGGAAGGGAGGTTCCCGAAATCCATGCAGGGCACCCAGACACCTGAAAGGCAAAGGGATCTTGGTTGGTTGCAGGTGCAGTGAAGTCCACTGAAGGTGTGGTAGGAAAAATGTAGTCCTTAACCCAGGTCCCAGGCGGGAAGAAGGGTGTGTGCTAATTCCTGGTGCCCCTCGACGGGGGCCAGAGAGAAGGATGGAGACAACCCAGAGAGTCACAAGACCAGCGCCTCCCCTCAGGGTGCCTCCAGGCTGAAAGGGGGTCCTGGCTCTGGTCTCTGGGGACCCCGTGCCCCTTGGTTGGTGGTGTGGGGGAGAGAATCCATAAGAGAGTTTCTGAGAATTACAGTGTCATGTCCAGAAACTAGAGCTTGCCTTGCATCAGGGGTCTCTACTCACTGCTTTTCCAACCTCCTGTGTTGAGGTTTAGAAAAGAGAGACTCGACTAGGCACTGTGGCTCATGCCTGTAATACAAGGACTTTGGGAAGCTGAGGTGAGAGGATCACTTGAGCTCAGGAGTTCAAGACTCGCCTGTCCAACATAGCGAGACCCCTGTCTCTAGTAAAAAATTTGGCCAGGCATGGTGGCTCACGCCTATAATCCCAGCACTTTGGGAGGCTGAGGTGGGCAGATCACCTGAGGTCAGGAGTTTGAGACCCAGCCTGGCCAACATGGTGAAACCCCGTCTCTATTAAAAATACAAAAATTAATCAGGCATGGTAGCACATGGTGGCTGTAATCCCAGCTATTCAGGAGGCTGAGGCAGGAGAATCACTTGAACCCAGGAGGCAGAGGTGGTAGTGAGCTGAGATCACACCACTGCACTTTAGCCTGGGTGGACAGAGTGAGACTCCGTCTCAAAAAAAAAAAAAGTACCTGTCATTGTAGTGCATTCCCTGTAGTCAGCTACTCTGGAGGCTGAGGCAGGAAGATCCCTAGAGCCCAAGAAATGGAGGCTGTAGTGAGCTGTGATTACACCACTGCACTCCAGCCTGGACAAAAGAGTCAGACCCTGTCTCAAATGAGAAAAAAACAAAAAGAAATGACAGAATCCAGAGAGACTAGGCTAGATCAAGCCTGCTGGGTCCTGGCAGGAGCCCCAGGGAGTAGCTCATCTGCAGACCTTTGCTTTAGTACTGCCCCTTAAACAGAGGAAGAATGACATCCAAAGGGTGTGGAGCAGCCATGAGCTGAGAACTAGCCTGGTCTACCTGGGATTGATGGCAGGTCCTGGTCAACACGTCAGATCTGCATCACAGTCCATGCCTGAAGCCCGAGCTGAAGCCCCATCCCTGCTGCTCTCCCAAGAACTCCTCTGCTAGGGCAGGCCCCATGCCCTTGGGTGCCAGGTGGGACTTGCCTGATGGGATGGGGTGCTTGCCATATACAACTTGCCATGAACTCAAGGTGACCCAGGTGGCCTTCTGAGTTGTGATGGGGCCTAGAACCAATGTGCTCTGATGTGACCATATTCTGTGATGTTGCCTTGCCCTGTTTACTCCAAAGTTCCCAGCCTGGTGCCCAGCAGGCAATTTTGCACTTACAGACACATTTACTTTGGCTTCCAAAGTGTTTTTAGACATTTGAATTTGTTGCCAACATTTAAACATTGAGAGATTTCATATTTTTAAAAATCTGGAATTCTGGCTTCTCTTGAAAACTCAGAAATTCTGGCACCACGGGGCTTGCATTCCTACATGGCTAGAGCTGAGTTGCAGCTGCCGCTTTAGGCCTGTACCCCTTATTTACCATAGTTTCCCTCTTGTGTTACACTGAGCCCATGTTACCCATTTGGCTCCTGCAGGCCTTTGGGTTTGAGACCCTGGTCTACACACTTGGGGACCACCTGTTGTAAGGTACGTGGATGTGCTTTGGTCAAGAAATAAGACCAAGCTGGACATCCAGGCCAGAGTGACTCAACGAGTTTTGGTCACAGGCGTGTACTCCACTTGTTATGTAACCTGTTTGTGTAAGTTCATACTTGGTTCAAAGCCACTATTGTTTGGAAAAGGTATAACTGCCCTGCTGACGCTGTACAGACGTTCTTGGGCTTGGATGGGCATGGCTGCACATGGCATGCACTGGCATCTAGAGAGTGAAGCTACTGACCACTGTAAGGGAGAGCGACCATCTGGCAGATAGAGGGGAGCCAGGACACGGCTTGGCTTGTGCCCAGATGGAGAGTTAAGCCGCTGACCCTGTAGCTGGCCTTGCAGGCCAGGGAGTGCACCTGCGAGCATGGCGGCTGCAGGAGCCGCAGATCTGGAGAAGACAGCCAAGGTAAAGGTGGACAGTGTGAGAGCTGCTGGTGAGATAGCTGCTGAATAAAACTAACATTTTACCTGCGTACGGCCCGCCAAGTTTTCTTTCAGCTATCGCCCATCCACCCACTCCCCTCGAACCTCAGCATGGACTGAAACCTGACCCTGGGTGTGACATTTGGTATACTGACACCTCTGTCTGTCCCAGTCCTGGTTCTCCCTGCCTTCCTGTTCCTCTCCCTGCCCTCATGGTCACTCCCAAGGGATCCAACCCATGTTGAGTATGGGCTAGAGGACTTCATGAATGCCTCATAATCTTCCTAGAGGCAAAGGCACCTCCTGCCTTCCAAGGTCAGTGGGAGGCTGGGATCAACACTGTTTATTATGCTTACGACAAAAAAGATAGGGAGAAAGACATGCAGCCTTACAGGTCATCTTTCTGGGATAGAACACAATGGGTTTTTTCCTGCCTTCTGAATATGTTAGTCAAGGCCAGTCCATGCTACACATCTAATCTGACTTCTAAAATAGCAAGTGGAGGGTGAAGCACCGGATGAATTCAGCCCTGAGAGAATTTTCAGCAGCCGTGGGGGCACTGGAAGAAACACTATTAACTAGTTTTGCACCTGAGACAAATGGCCTCGCTCGCCTCCCGTAGTCCTGATGGCATTTGTCTCATGCAAAATTTAAGAAAGAAACTTTGGAGTGCTCACCCTGTGGCTGGGTAGATGATCCTGAAGTGGTGGTTTTCAAGCCTGAGTGTGTATCGCGA